GGGACTCTTTGGGGACCCCTGGGGACCCTCAGGGCTGTGCAGAGAGAGGCAGAGGTCGAGGAAGGGGACCCTCAGAGCCCTGCAAGGCAAAAGAGAGGTCAAGGGAGGGGATGGGGACTCCCGGGGACCCTCAGGGCTGTGCAGAGAGAGGCAGAGGTCGAGGAAGGGGACCCTCAGAGCCCTGCAAGGCAAAAGAGAGGTCAAGGGAGGGGATGGGGACTCCCGGGGACCCTCAGGGCTGTGCAGGGCAAAGCAGAGGTCGAAGGAGGGGATGAGGATCTTGGGGACCCCTGGGACTCTCAGGCCAAAGGAGAGGTCAAGGACAGGGAGGGGAGGGGGACTCTTGGGGACACTCAGGGCTCTACAGGGCCGAGATCCCAGACAGGGGAGGGGATGGGGACTCTTGGGGACACTCAGGGCTCTACAGGGCTGAGATCCCAGACAGGGGAGGGGATGGGGACTCTTGGGGACACTCAGGGCTCTACAGGGCCAAGATCAAGGACAAGAAGGGGATGGAGACTCTTGAGGTCCCTCAGAGCTCTGCAGGGCCGAGACCACACACAGGGGAGAGGGGACGGGGTCTCTGGGGGTCCCTCACCCCCCCCCAACGACTCACGTAGAACCTGTTCCGTGCCACCGACAGGTCCACGCCCTCGCTCAGCCTCCTCCCCTTGTCCCCCGGCTCCGGGCCCTCGTCCAGCTCCAGCTCGTGGCTCTCCAGCCCCAGCCCCTTGCGCTTCAGCGTCTGGGGGGGACACAGCGGGGCCATCAGGGGGGTTCCGCAGCCGCCCCGGCCCCCTCCCCGGGCCGCCCCCCCCGGCCGGTACCTCGAGGATGTCGGAGTTGGTGCGGCTCTCGTGGGGCTCGCTGTACTCCGTGTACTTGAGCAGCACCTTGTCCATGTCGGTGCTGGCGTACTGGAAGAGCCGGTTGGTGCTGTTGAAGATGATGAGGGCGATCTCGCAGTCGCACAGCACGCTCAGCTCGTAGGCCTTCTTCATCAGCCCGAATTTCCGCTTGGTGAACGTCACCTTGGGGGGGGGACACCGCGCTGGAGACCCCCGGACACGGCCCCACACCCTCCTCCCGGGGACCCTCTGCAGGGCCCAGCACCCCCGAGGGTGGTGGGAGCACCCGGAGGTTTTACCCCCCGTCCCCGCTGCCCCCCCTGAGCGGGTCCTACCTGCCGGTTCCGCTGGTCCAATATTCGGCTGATCTGTATTTTTTTACGGCCCATTTTCGCCTCCTGCGCCGGGTTTCGGGGCTGGAAGAGAGCGAGAAGCCCCTGAGCCCCCCGCAGCCCCAGGGCCGCCCCGAGCGAGCATCCCCGCCCCAGCACCGCCAAAAATAAGCTTTTGCTGAAAAAAAAAAAAAAAAATAAAAAGAAAAAAAAGTTTTTTCGGAGGAAGTTCTGGGTTTTTTGGGTTTTTTTTTTTTTTGTCCTGTCTTCCGCAAAGATGGCAGCAAACTGGAAAGTGGGGGGAAAAAAAATGAACTGGGGAATTCTGATGGGGTAGAGGG